CCCGCCATTGGCCGCCTGGGCCCGCCCCCGCCCCGCGCGCCGGCCCCGCCCCCGGCCCCGCCCGCGCGGCCGAGGCGTGTGGGACGTGGCAGCAGGATCCGCATCCGCGTCCGCCTCGGGAGCGCGGGAGCGGGAGCGCGAGCGCGCGTGGCGGGCGGGGCGAGCCGTGCGTGCAGCTGCAGCCCCAGAATTGCATGGCTGAACCCTGAGCAATTTAGTGGAGGCGCGTGGCTTGTCTAGTACAGCGGTTCCCAAACTGTGTCCCTCGGGGCTTTCCGCAAAAGCCTCCTAAGGCTTCCGCAAGAAATCTCAAAAATCAAATTTAAGATGAATTTTAAAATGAACCCTCCCTCCCCCAGGCCAACTATTCCATTGCCAGTTGACATCCAAGCATCAAACAAGGAAACATGTCATTTGGTTCCTAGGCCTGGAATAAACAAAATAATTCATTTGGGATATTACCATATAATGGCTTTATCCATTCATTATATTTAAATGCTTTCTCTTTATTTCCAAGCATCCTCCTTTACGTAAAACACCCAGGCAGTATGAGCAGGTGGAAGGAGGAAGAATGTGATGGGTTCACAATGCTTAGTAAAAATCAGGGATAAGAGTTGGGTTAGGGTTCCAGGGAAAAAGCGTCCTCAGAAAGATACTAAAACCGGGGCAGTGGCCACAACTGAGGAGCAGGTACTCCAGATCCAAAAGGATCTGGACAGACGATGGAAGTGGGCAGGAGACAACAGGAAGGCGTTCAGTGTGGATAAGTGCAAGGTCTTGCCCTTGGGGCATCGGAATGGGTGTCACAAGTACAGGTCAGGGGACAAGTGGCTGGAGAGCAGCGCTTGTGAAAGGGACCTCGGGGTGCTGGTCGACTGCAGGCTGAACATGAGCCAGCCGTGTGATGCGGTGGTCAAGAGGCCAAACGCCACCCTTGGCTGCATAGCCAGAAGTGTGGCTTCTACATCGGGAGAGGTGTTACTACCACTCTATACGAGTCTGGTGCGCCCGCAACTGGAATACTGTGCTCAGTTTTGGGCCCCTCGTTACAGGAAGGATATAGCCGGGTTAGAGTCAGTGCAGCGTAGGGCCACAAGGCTGGTGGCCAGTTTGCAGGAGATGGGGTGTGAGGTGAGACTGAGGGAACTGGGTCTCTTCAGCCTGGAGGAGACTCGGAGGGGATCTGTTGGCGACATACAGGGACACGGAGGGGGGCAGAGACCTGTTCTCCCCTGCGGAGGAAGGCAGGACGCGCTCCGATGGAGCCAAGCTCAGGGAACCCAGGCTCCATTTGGATGCCAGGAAACCGTTCCTGACAGTTGGGACCCCAATGGTACAGAATGGGCTTCCCCGGGAGGTGGTTGAGGCCCCATCGGTGCGGGTGTTCAAAGACAGGCTGAATATGCACATGGTGGGCATGTCGTGAGCAGAGCCGGCTGGAGCCGGGGGTCAGACTAGATGTTCCGGGGGACCCTTCTGACTCACTCTGTTTCTGTGTTCCATGACCAAGAACGTTTAGGAACTGCTGCTCTAGAAAATGCAACCTCAGATACCGTTTTGCAGCCTTTAACCAGTTCAGACCCCAGGGTTGCATGACCACGGAAAGAAAAGACGTGGCAGTTTCTTTTCCCTCCTCACAGGAGTTGCCTGATTAACACCATCACCCTTGCCAGACCCAGCAGGTTGGCATGACCTCCGAGTGGGCCAAAGAAAGGTAGCTGTGGCCACTTGTAACCCATCCTGAAACTCTAGATCACGTCATGGGTGTTGGGGTGGCTTGAAAGCTGCCCCGAAATGAATCCTGGATGGCTGCTTCACAAGCAGGAATTGACGCGGGATTCCCCCATCGTATAAGCTCAGCTTCTCATGGAGGGCAGGCTGCTTCCCGCTCAGCTTGCGTCCTCTCCCACCAATGATGCCTGTTGGGGACAGTTCTCCTTGGATCAATTACACAAACCGCCACATCCAAGGCACTCTAAGAAGAATGCCCCCACGTCTCCCAGGGCAGCTGAAAAGCCTGTGTCCCCAGTGGAAGGCCCCAGGGCAAACTTGTAAATTTTGCCTGCTGTGCCACGAAAGGAGGGGCCGTGTGTGCTTCATGAGCTGCCGGGCAAGGTACTGAGCAGCAAACAAAAGGGGTGGCAGAGGTGGGGGGAGGCAGTCTGGTCCTCCCCAGGGAAGGTGCCTTTTGGGGCGCTCTCTGCCCCAGTGACAGTCGCCCGATGACAGAGAATCCTGCAAGTTTGGCTGAAGGGGACGGCAGCTGCCACCCGGAGCCTGGTCCTGCCAAGCGTGCCATCCTGGCCCGTGTTGCGGAGGCTCGGCTGGACAACGTGGCTTGCTCGAGTCTTTCCCGGTGTATTTTGGTGGCAGGATCAGGACTCCGCACCGCTCCCCTTGCTAGCCAACAGTTTCCCTGCCTGAACTTGCAGATAAGCAGTTTGGGGGCAATTCAACACAGTCTTACATCCTCCAGCAACCACGAGTTCGACCCAAAACATGCTTGCGGCTGTTGCATGGGATGATGGCAATCTTGGGAGGAAGAGCTTAAAAGCAGCTCCTGTGCCATGGGCCGCAGCGTTTGGCTTTACTAGGACTTGATAAACACTCAGACTTAGGCGACTTCTTCACAGGCGAGGGCATATTAAGATTGTTCTGCTTCCAGATGCTAACGGACGGTTCCTTGGTAGCTCCTGGGAATCTCTGCTTCATCCCTGCAAGCAATTTTGAAGCCGCAAGTGAACTCTGAATGGAGAATGGACTGTGTTCACCTGCATTTGTCTGGGGAAACAGCAGAGAAGCCTGCGACACTGTTGGTGATGCCTCATGCCAAGTCTGGCTGAATGCAGACTTACTCCATGGCTCCAGATGTAGCCAAGCGTCTGCACAGAGCCATGCGGGAGACTTGGTCCGGGCAACTGGAGAATCATCATATCCTGGGCCACTCAGTTGCTCCCGTGCCCACATAGATAACTAGCATTGGTTCTTTTCAGTGCCAGAGTTAATGTGACGCGTCCTTAGCTTGTCCAGTTGTTATTGAAACTCCTTTTGTATGATGCAACGATGCGGATAGGATTCTCAAAGCAATCAACACCTGCGTCCTCGATCTTTGGCCTTCCTGCTTATTGAAGGCAACCACAGGCGGTAAAGGGCGCGGTGAGTGATGCAGGGCTGCCCCTGAACAGTCGGGAAAGTCCAACCGCTCCTCCAGAACTTGCCTCCACTTTTAAAGTCCCGGAACACTGGGCCAGCTTGCCAAAAGAACCTCCCCCCGGCCCCGTACTCTTTCTCATGTGCCGACAGTTCTTCCGAGGAGTTGGTGCTGGTGGAGGGTCGGGGTCACTTTGCTACGGCACTGGGGAGCACAATAAGATGCCAGTCCTCCTTGTGGCAGCCACTCTCCGGCAAACTCTTCCAGGAAGGTGCTTTGGGCTGCCTCCGAGAAATATCTGCTAACAGATTTCCTTTTCAGAAAGGTCTTCCCTATTTTTAGTTCCCTAAGCACTATTTTTGCCTTAAAACTCGTAAGTTATTTTAGACTTGATTGCTTTATGCATTTGCATTTAGGATGTTTTTATTGATGGTTAATTCTATGGTTCCCTCCCGCTCCATAGTTCTAAAATGTCCCTGTGGGAATAGGCCAGCATGGGCTGTGACCAGAACTCAAGTCCAGCTCCATTTGGCTTCATAACCGCCCTATTGCACATGATTTTCTGTACAGACCAAGGAGGTGAAACACGCCAGTTGCTGCAGACTTTATTATAAGCAAACACACCAGCTGCGATGCAGTCTGTTCTGCTCACATACAGGTAGGTGGGTGAGCTGTGTAATGAGAGAAATGCAAAACACGTCCCCAAAACTAGCTTGCACAAGTTGCTGCAGGCAGAGGCCATGTCCCTCTCCCTGCATTTCGCTTCCACATAGACAATCCTGGGAATGGACGTAGTCCAGAGAACAGGTAACTTGATCTCTTAACACAGAGAGCGCTTTTACTCATGCACGTAGAAAATGTAAGGCAATCTTCCACTTGTAAAGAAAAGGAAAGCTCCCTAAAAGGTTATGTTTGCCAACTGCATTAGGCAACGCAGTTTTGCTGTTTTCTTCCAGGAACTTGGAACAAGCCACATCTTAGTAAGTGCTTTTATCAACAAACAAATCCAAAAAGACAAGAATTGAGACAGCTGCAATAGACCTGCTTTCCACGTTCAGGTCAGCATAAAGGTGGGGGATTTATCCTAAATGTGTCTTCCTACTCATCACGGCAGGCCTCAGAGGGCCCTGATGTGGATTCACAGCCGCAATGGCAGACATCCTCTGCATCTGGCCGTGCGGCTCCCCGAGGCTGAGCGGGGGGTGGCCAAGCAGGCCTCCGCGGTAGGAGGTGTGACTGCTTCGGCACGCCCGAGCACCCTCCTGACAAGATGCACACTCTGCACAGCCTTGGTCCTGTTTCATTATTCAGAGCTCCCCTGCAACCAGGAAGACACAAGTCCCAGGGTGCCGAAGAGGGGGCTCACGAGCCGTTTTGTGGTTGGCACACTGGGCCGGGCTGTTGCATAATGCGACAGCAGCCTCAGCAGAACGGCTAGCGCTGGCCACCGGAAATTCACTCAGAACATTCTGCAACTCAGCAGATTCTCGGAGTCTCCCTGGGCCAGCCTCTTCAATGGGTCCCCTCCCCTACAGACGGGCTGGCCAGCACCACAAGCCAAGCTTCACCAGAAAGTTCTCTGACCATAAGAATGGGGCGGTTCCTATCACTGCCATCCAGTATCCTTCTGCCAAGACAAAGTGTGAGTCAACACACTTGTCTTCTGTGCGTTGGGTGGATAAGCTGGAAGCAGTTCAACGTGAGAGAAAACCAGGAGGAGCTGGTCTGTCGGCCAGGCTCTGCTCCTTGCTTCTCCACTGCGGACTGTGATGCTCAGGGTCACAAAAAAACCTTTTTGTAAGCCGCCTCGAGGCTTTTTGCAAATGGGGCAGCACAGAAATGTTCTAAATAAATAAAGGGAAAGGGAAAGGAAAAAGAAGGGAAGGCTCCCGTGGGCTGCTGCCCGTTGCTGGCAATCGGCAGCTGGGTTCCCCTCTCTGGCCTTGACAGTCCCCTCCGGCACGGGATGCGCTCCCTGCTCTGTGGATCGGCAGAACGCCAGTCGTTTCATGGGAAATATTAAAAGGGATCTCCTAGTCAAATGCCCTTTAAAGCTCTAAAAGCAGCGAAGTAACCAAGGATGATGGACCAAAGACTCGGGTGACCCCATCACACAAATGAGTCATATTTTGTATCTGACAAGATAGCTGTTTTTCATTGCAATTGTTACAGGGTCTATATGGAGCCAGCCATTTCTGTCCTTTGAGGATATACTTCTTCTGCAAGCGCAGATTCAATGCTGATGGTTTAAATCCGACACTTGCCAATTCTTCCAGGAAAACAGTAACACAGGCATTCAAACTCTGCTAGAACAGCTTGCATTTTTCTTGCCAGTCTGAGTTCCTGCAGCTGTTGTATTAATTACAGAAAAGCTGCAAGAGCTCTGTACGCTAAGCCTTGCTCTCTACTGATTTTAACCTGCAAAATCAGTTGAGGCACAAGAGGAGCTGGTGATTAATCTCACATTATTTGCTCATTTTACACCACTGTGTTACCGTAGGCAAAGCTGTTTTTCATCTCTCTTTAAAAACTGACGTTTTGGGCAGTCTCCCAAAAGAGTCCCAGTTCCCACGTAAGTCACACACTTATTTTTTTAGAGGCACATTCTTAAATTAACTTAATATGGGCCACAGCATACCCTAATCACTTCGTTGTAATTAAAGCAACTCTAATTATCTTGTTTTAATTAAGGTAGTTAGGAGTAGCGAAAGCGCTGGTTTGCACCACACTTTTCAAAGCTGATCAGTGAGGGTAGGACCCCAGTCCACATTTGGGTGTTGTTAGTCAGAGGTGACCTTGCAACAAGATAGCATTAGGATCCCAGGGAAGGCGGGCCCTGCTGCAGCGCTGCCCCAGAGACAGAGGGACAGGCAAACCTCCATTCGCACGGCTGAGAACAAGAGACTAACTTGGAAAACGGTGGCACAGGCAGTGCAGTCCACTGGGAGTACGGCAAGACAGTTCTTGAACATCCCACCTTTATGCAAATGAAGTAATAAACAAATGCCACTGATGCTTTACTGGTTCAATGACAGTTCAAAAGGTGAAAACTGTACAATAAGGTCAAGACCAAAGCAAAATAAAAGATCGAGTTTAGTTATTTCACTTGCTACAGCATCTTGCATTTATAGGAGGAGGAAGTTGTAAGTAGATTGATAAAGGGACTCAAAACAGATCTGATTCTGAGTAACAGGAAGGGCTCAGATTAATCAGTATTTCTCAGTACATCAGCTTTCAAAATATGTAGAAGCTACCTAAAGCAAAATAAGGGGGGAAATATTTTATGAATGCCACAGTCTGTCCACATTCAAACATTGTTGTACTTTGGTTCAAAAAAAAACCCAAACAAAAAAAGTTGGCAATCCAACCTCTATGAATATTTTCTATTGTTTCCTTAAAATCATGAAGCAGAAATAAGAGCAATTGAAAGGTGCCTAGTAAGAGTGATGCCAACTGAGATTTTTTTCTCTACTATGTGGCTCATTTAGAAAAGTCCAAAGATTTCCTCAATTCAGGTTGAGTTCATTTGTTCTTCATTATCGTTATCAACAACCTGAAAGACAACAAACTAACTCTAAGTCACAGCAGCTATTTGCAAAACCAAACACATACAAGCACATAAATATAGGCATCAGACTCCACAATGCCTCCAGGTTCCGTGTAGGTGAGCCGTTTTATACAAGGGGGTCCTGCCCAGAGGACCCTCCTGCGCGTCGCCTTAACATGAGTTACTGGGCTGAGCCGCCAGTGCAGTCTGGAGTGGGCAGAGGGCTCAGAGCGACACGGCTGTGGTCACGTTACACCTCGGTGCAAGGAATTCTCCGACGGCCTACTAGCCCCATGGAAAATATCAGGCTGGCATACAAAGCCCAGCAGCTGAGGACCAGGGCCCCCGGCAGCTGCCTTTGCCTAAGCATACCCAAAGGACTCTGAAGACCGCCCAGGGAGACCCTGCCGGCTGTTCTGTGGCCACAGTTCATCTCTGGAAGACAGGCCGCAGGGCAGGGCCGGCAGCCACCCTCTGAACCCCCCCCGCCCCCCCCACCACAGTCGGAGAGGCATGTGTACAATTCAGCAGAATATAAGTCTCCTTTAATAAAAGTAAACAAGCAAATAATAGATTTGAGGCATCAATTTCTGCTTTTTTAAACCAGCAAAGACGCTCTGAGGTTTGAGGAAGAAATTCTCTTCCTTCGGAGCACTATTCATGCCTCTCAGTTGTGCTTACCTGTTCCACACCTTCTACTTCTGGAATATAGAACTGCAGCATGTTTTGTATCCCATTCTTCAGCGTTATGATGGAACTGGGACAACTTGTACATGAGCCTTGCAGTTGTAACTGCACGATCCCATCTTCAAAGCCCTTAAATACAACATCCCCGCCATCCTCCTGGACCGTCGGCCTGAGGAGCATGAAGTCATGTACATGAGGGACAAAATGGCAGTGGAAGAAACAACCCCTCCAACATTGAGGAGCGAGCCCCCCGCCCCCAAAATACCCTGCTCTGTCCCCCCGTTCTCCTGCTCCCATTTACGTAAATTCTGCCGTGCTTTGGGCAATCCATCAAGCCACCTCCCTTCTCTTCCTCCAAGCCATCATCCATTTTTCCTTGGAAAATTCTGGCCAGAGCTGTGCATTTTCCAAGTGCAAGGTCTGTGCTGCAGCAACTCTTATCCCGTGCCGGGAAGAACTGATTCTTGCATATATTCTTGCAAATTCAGAGGGTTGGCAAGCTCTGGCTAGGGGAACCGAAGGCCCAAACGCTAGGAGGGGCACCAAGCGCCCATCCCCGCTGTAAGGCAAGACGCCTCCACACTGAAAAGGCCTGTGCTTCATGTAAAGACCTTCCTTACGCAAGGCTGCCTTCTTGATGCGTTCGGGACTGCTTGTATTATTCACTGCTGCTGCCATTGCTACCACCAGCCATTACCGAATCCCATCTGCTCTTTAAACTGAAGAATTCATCCATCCAGTTCAGAGCTCGGGAAGCCATTCGAGGACAGGCTGCACCTATATTGCCACAAAGACCAGCCGCTGCATTTCATGCTTCCACTGGCCTTTCCCTTCCCAACAGCATTTCCGCTATTTACAAAAGAAACAACCAGCACACTGTTTGCAGAACTAGCGTATCCCAAAGCACTGGAAACGCTTCACTGTGAATATTGACACAAACACCAAAACACAAATGCACAACTGTAAAACCTTCTCTGATGTCCTTCTGACTAATACTGGAGAACAAGCAGTTTTAACAGAAATATTTGGCCTTAGAATGAGAAAGCTAAATATTTAAAGAGCGTATCTAGATGAGCAATGATTAATTCCACCAACATTTCTGGCTTGTATTCCTGGCCCATGTGCAACATGTTCACTGTCATCCCTTTTTGAAGCGTGCTTTTAAATCACAGACCTCCGCCAAAAGCTGGGAAAAAATGAGGGGGGAGGAGTGGGGCCTGCCAAACAAAGAACATCAGAAGATCCCAGGGTGAACAAACCACTGCTTTCACACCCCACCTACCAAGCGTTTCTGGGTCTGTCGGTGCAATAAACTATCACTCAAATTACAGACTGGGAATTCAACCACCGTCATTGAACTTTTCCAAATGTATAGCAAACAAAGTTGTACCTTATTCTAGTATCCAGCAGTTCTTTTATCATTAATACAACTTCATCATCTTCTTCTGATGGAGCTTGAAGGTTCATGCAAGGTAGAAACAATGACCCAATCAGCAAACGTTGCCAGACAGTGAAATGACAATTGTCTTAGAATAGCATAGAAGACTCGTGCAAATGATTGATAAAATGTTACTTCCTGCCCTTGTGGAACAAACATGACAACTGTGAACTAGCAGCACCCCAAAGTGAAACGAGCACAGGTGGGGAATGGCAGAGAGAGGTAAGATCCCCGAGGGAGCCCTGTGAGCCTCAGCCCATCAGAGGCACAGACCCCGTACGAGCTGTCCTGGCAGGGAACGCCAGGACCACCCTGCTGGGCCGGCACAGAGCCACCCAGCCCAGGCTTCCCCAGTGGTCAGGCTGGTGAGGGAGGCTGGCAGGCGGCAGACTGGGGAAGGCCAGCCGAGCGAGTCCAGCATCACGTCCCGGGCAGTGCCCCGGCGGATGGCTCTGGAACCACACAAGCAGCGCATCACGGGGAGGGCCTTCCGCTGCTGCTTGCCAACGGCACCTGATACTCAGAGGTTTACTGTGCCTGAGCAGTAAGACCACGTCAACCATATGATCCACCACTTACCTGTTTCAGAATGAGGTGCCTCTTCAGTAATGACAGGTAAGCCAGAAGCATAGAAATCCATAATAGTTGCATAAACATCCGGCTTTATTAAGTTCCAGTCCAGCTCCTCGCTCTCCTAGGAAGAGTTCAGGAAGAGCACAGGTGCGTATGAGCAGACCTCAGTCCATGCTGAATGTGGGCCGGCCGTGTGCCTCTGGGAACCTTAAGCCAAGGGATGCCGACAGCGATCCTCCTGTTTGTCCCAGGGATCCCATATGCCTAACGTGGGCCCCCCAACTCTGGAGCGATGGCCCTCAAGCAGGACTTCCTTCCGTCTGCCAGAGGCTGCAGTAATGCCTGCAGAACTGCCCTCCTCCTTCCTCACACCCCGGACAGAGAGAGGATCCATGAGGGTTTCAGGAGCCCATGAAGGGCTGGGGCAGGGAGCGGAATAACATTTCCTCCATGAGTGGGCTCTCTCTATCCCTTTCCAGCTTTACCCTAAGTCCCAAAGAGCAGCCCAAAAAGGAGTATTTTATACTGCTTCCCCAAAGCATTCAGACTTGGACTCTGGGTAAGACTGCAGCGGGAGGAAAATTCCTAATTGGGTGCGGGGTGAACTAATGCCCTCAGAGCACTTTCTCAGGTTGGCCTTTGAAAATTAGTTGCAGTATTACTGGGCCCTCAGATGGATTCTGTTGCTGTGCCGTTTTTATTGTTTTCAAAAATCCCTTTAGATTGTTTTTAATCTAAAGGGACTGAGCCACATCAGAAACATATGTGATCTCTCCCTACAGACTTTGCATAGGTCATACGCAGAGTGTTAAGATCTTACTGCAGGCTTACCTTTGTGACAGTGATGAAATCTGTCCCAAGGAAGATGCTCTTTACTCCTTCAATCCTGAAGAGCTGTCTATCAAAAGGTAAATCAAAAGAACAAGACTTTGAAAAATAAAGGCGGCCACCCAGCCTCTGCTCGTCGTGAGTGCTCTCGGGTTTTCCTGCTGGCTCACAGCAGGACACCAGAGAGCGTGCCTCTCCCCTTCCAAGCCGCCCAGTCGCTACGGCCGTCGAGGAGGCTCTCCGGGTGCTTCCACCCGGCCCAGGGGCTTGCCTGGAGTCCACCGGGAGAGCAGCCTTCGGCACGGCAGCCCCATAGCTATGGCATTCCCTGTCCCAGCAAGGTGGACAGCGCCGACACACCGCTGCTTTCAGCACCTGCTAAAGGCAAGCTCATTCCAGGAAGCTTTTCCTGAAATCCAGCCATGGCCTTAATGTTATCTTGCTTTTTTTTCATGCTGTTAATGTCCAGATTTAAGTATTTTAACTTCACGGGGTCACTGCTCCGCAATCTGCTTGGATACAGAGCAGTGTGCAAATGCTGAAAATACATAAATGCATGTTTGCGCCTTGATATTCACAGTACTCCTTAAGGCTGCGATCCAGAACATGCCTGCCTGGACGTAGCACCACTGATTTCCACACAAATGTGCAGGGGAGGGGTTGTTGGGCACATCAGGGCGAACCAAAGCTCTCCCTGCCAAATCTTTTTCATGGAAGTCACTCACCTGTGCCAGATATTAACCACCTTTAGGCATACCCAGCAAAAATGGACACATTGCACACACGGACAGACAAGTTAGTCAACATGTTTTGGATCAATTTCAAGCTTCTGTTTTAACGTGGCTAAAAGAATGGATAACTTTAAGAAATAAGAGAATCTTGTATCTTGAAGGGCATGATTTGCAAATGGGTTGGCACGCTTATATGTTGTATGAAAAGTGTAAGGTACAGGGTTGTGTCTTAAATCATTATATTAGGAAATCATTAATGTCGGTGTGGGAAAAGTTAAAAATAAAACTGTATACTAAATTACCAAGATGGTTTCACCTATGGAAGCTTTTGTATATCCAAATGCATTGAATTTTGATACGATCGTGAGATATGATGATATTTTGGATAATGATGGAGGATTAAAATTGAATCAAGAAATACAAGAACAAGGAATTAATATTTCTTGGTGGCACAAGGTTCAAATGCAATCGAGATATGATAAAGACTATAGAATGTGGGGCTTTTATAAGGAGCCAACAGCATTTGATCACTTGATTCTTAAATCAGATGAGATAATGATTAAAAGATTACATAACTTCGTACTAGATAGGAGAATGGAAAATGAACAGGTTATGGAAACTATGATAATGTGGGTGCAAAACTTTGGATATAATATTGAGTTAGAGAAATGGCAGAAGCTGTGGGAAAGAAATATTAAAGTAACATTAGCAACTTCATATAAAGAAAATCTGTATAAAATGTTTTATAGATGGTATCTGTCGCCAAATAGGTTAGCTAAGATGTTTCCAAATATGCCAAATGGATGTTGGAAATGTAAACACAAATCGGGTACTTTTTATCATATGTGGTGGACATGTGATAAGGCAAACAAATATTGGATGAAAATACACAAATGGCTTGAGGAAATGTTACAAAAACCTCTAACATTTAAACCTGAAGTTTTTTATTAGGCATGGCACCTGATGATCTTAGTAAACAAGCAATGTATTTGACCCCACATGTAACCACTGCGGCGAGGATTGCATTTGCCCAACACTGGAAGAGTGAAGAGCACCTACTGATGAACTGATCCTAAAAAAGATCTTGGACTGTGCGGAAATGGACAGATTGACTTTGTCTCTGAAGGAGAAAGATACAGCTTTCTATCAAACCTGGGACTCTTTTTATCATTGGCTTGAAAAACGGGACTACGCATAGACTTAAATATGTCTATAATTTAACATAAAAAGAAAAAATGTGGGGGGCTGACCCAGTAGGTCTGATGTTTCCGATGACTGATGCTTTTTATTTATTTATTTTTTGGTTAGGTATATATTAAGAATAAAACTTATTAAAAACATTTTTGGATTAATTTCCAAGACTTCTGTAATATGTCCGATTACAGCATTGCTACAGCACATGGCTGTAATAGCCCTTTTACATGCACAGTCACATGTGTGCCTGACAATACACAAATTGCACATTCGCACACACCAGTGCAGGAAGAACTAGGACAGAGCAGTCTCTAGACAAGGGGCAAAATGCACTCTGTGCTGTGTCACAAAGGCCCCCGGACACCTTCTTTGCAAAGCACTTGCAGGAAAGGGGTTTGTTTTTTAGATGAGAAGGGAAGGCAACCTGGGATGTGTATCCTTCTCCTGAAATCACATTCGAGCTGTTTCTATCCTCAGAACATTTCATATAGGGTGCCTTGAGGGTCAGAATAGGTCCAGAACCCTGGCAGGGGTAAAGACAACTGAGAGATTTAAAATTTCAGGCAAAAAACTGAGCAAGGAAATAGTTAAGCCTTTTCTTCTCTCTTTTCTTTTCTTCTCTGTTCTGATGCAAATCACCCACCCAAGAATGCTTGCAAGGGGTAAGGCGCCCTCCAAGTTCATTGCATACCGGGCAGGAGTGCAACATGCAGTTTGTCCCAAGCAACTATAATTGAAAACAATTTGTTCTGGGCACAGGACCAAATCTTTGTCGCACAACTCACAAAGAACAAACCTTGCTAAGGGCGAGCAGTATGTGGAGGCTGGAGAGGTGAATTCTATAGTTCGGGACTCCAGGACTGGTTTCCCTGGGATAAATTTCAGACTGTTTGGATTTGGAGTGTCCTGTGTCTGAATAAACATAGACCGCACTGAAACAGAAAAGGCACCCGTTAAAATAGGAAAGTATTAGTAAAGCCTAACCTGCATCCAGTCCTCGTAGCAGAGAACACACTGCCTGGTGAGAGAGCTCTGCTGGATCAGGCAGGGAGGGCTCGTCCAAGCCAGCACTCTGCTTCCACCGGGCAATTCTCGCGGCAGACAAGCAGAACACTGCAGCCGTGGAAACCCTGCTTTGCTTCTCTGGAACCTCTGGTGCTCAGAGGCACACAGAGCTGCTCCAACCAAGGGGCCACGAGGAGCCATTTCCAGATGCTTTCTGTTCCTTATTGATCTCAGATTCTCACATAACTGATATCCCACAAAGCAAAGAGGTAGCTACTATTGACATGCTATGTCCTCCTTTAAATAATGTATAGAGACATGATACAAATACATGAAATTCATTACACACTATAGCAGTTAAATTAATTTGACAGAACATAACACTGCAGAAGGAATGACATGGAAGCAAAAGCATGCTTTGGAGCTTTCACGGAACAGTTTTGTTGTTACTGGCCAGGAAATTAAACAATGGTTGAGGGACCATCTGCCATAAGATTAAAGACCCCCCCTCCCACTTTGTCCAATGAAGATTCATGAAGGAGAAGAGAAAACAAGGCACATTTCCCCTTCCCACGCTGCAGCAACTTCCTTGCTAAAATACAGAAATAAGGGGCTCAGGGCCAGGTGGATGGAAAAGCAAGAAAGTGACACCATTTTCTTAACTATATTTCCCTGCTTCAGGACATGCTTACTACTCACCTTTGGTCTGTAGTTTGGCAGGTGGAAGAAGCAGCTTCCGCTGGGCAGCAAAATGCAGAGATCGTTTAGTTGCTGCATTAACATCTTTTAATCCCAAATGACAAAAGCTCACGGAAGAAAAAGATACTCAATCTTAACAAGAGAATGCTAGTTTCAGATTCTTAGTCTTATGGAACAGACTATACCACTCCCAAGACATCAACAGTTTAGAACTACTCAATAAACGCTTAACTGTACCATCTTGCAAATTAGACCCTTTCGTATTTTAGGCTCAAGGCAGATTAACAGTATTCCTTTATTTCTATCATAGCCATTAAGAGCCCTGGTTTACCAAACTGGCCAAGTCCATGCAGAGTCAATAGCTGAATGTAGACTAGAATTCCAACAACCTATCCCTAAAACTACCCTTGTGCTGCATAATGCTAGGAGAGGAGGAGATACTTGAAACAGAGTTTTGTTTTGCACAACTGGAGGTGTAAGAAACTATTTGTAAACTAATGACTGTGATTCTACTGTGCACCATAGGCAGCTACTCCTCTGGGGGTTTTATTACTAGTTTTAATCCAGGATTGTGTACCTGTTCTCCAGTTTTTCTCTTCCCCTTAAATGCAAATACACAAATGTTGGTCATCTTTAGTACTTTTAAAATGCAAACTATATGCATGATAGACTAAAAGACCAAAATACTAGCACAGCTCTTACCAATAACAACAATTTAAGGTTGCATTAGTTTGCTTCAATGAAATAAACACGCAAGCTTTAGAGCACCTAAAACTCAAGAGCCTGCATATTCTTCCATCACCAGAAGCTGACAAGTCTTAGCACATGGAACCATAAATATCTGAACAAACCGGTTTTTTTTTTTATTTCAATTTATATCCTGCCTTTTTCCTACGAAGGGCTCAAGGCAGCTTACATCATTCTCCTCCTCCATCTTATCCCCACAACAACAACCCTGTGAGGTAGGTTGGGCTGAGAGTCTGTGACTGGCCCAAAGTCACCCAGCTGGCTCCATGGCCGAGTGGGGACTCGAACCCGGATCCTCTGAGTCCCAGTCCCGCGCTCTTCACCACTACACCACGCTGGCTCTTTATAGTGTCCTAAGTGGTGTGTCCCGTTGAGCTAATAACAACATGCGAGTTGGTATGCATGATCCATGTGATGAAGCCTGTAATGGTGAAGAATTCTATAGTGATGCAATTAAAACTGCTGCCTTTCCAAACACAGATGTGCAACACAAGGGCCTCGGGCCTTCCTCTTTCTGTGCAACGGGCATGGATATGAGATGATGTCTCACACGGAGAGCGTGTCCACACATTACCCTGAACCTGTGTTCACCCGGATGTACGTGCGTTGAGACGGTTGTGAGAATCTCGCCCTATTCAGTCATTCTTTCCTGCAAAAATGCCCTGCGCTTTGGTAAAGCGGGGTGAGCTCGCCGGCTGCTTCCAAGAGCGGGGGTGCGATCTGCAGAGAACTACTGCACATGCACGTATGAGAAAAAAGCCTTTTCAGACAGCCCCTCAGCGGCGTCTTGGGACGGTTCAGCAGGACCCACGAGAGCCAGACAGCCTCACGACCCACCCAACGGCCCATCGGCGGACCCCGCGCCCGGGAAGCGCCCGACGCAACACCGGGGCAGCTCGGGGGCGGCGGGCGGTCCCGGGGCTCCCGCCTCGGCCTCCTGCCCGAGCGCGCCAGCACCGCCCGCCTGCGACGGCGCTCGCTCGCACCCGGGCACGGCCGGGAAGACAGCGGACGCCCGCGGGGTCGGGGTCGGGGTCCGGATCCCGATCCCGGGCCGCCTCAGGACGCCTCCCGAGCCCGCCGCGGCTAGACCGGCCGGGCCCCGGAGGGCTCCGGGCAGCCCCGCCGCCGCGCACCCCGCCTCGCCTCGCCTCGCCTCGCCCCGGGCCGGCCCCTCGTCGCTCGCCCGCGTCACCTACCGGCCGCCCAGCCCGGCCGCCAGCCTCCTCCCCGCCGCCATCTTGGCTCTGCCGGCGGACGGCGAAGGACACCCTTCCGCGCATGCGCGCGCGCGCGCGGGCACCCGGCGGGGGAGGCGCGGCCCTGCCGGCCAGGCGGGCGCCGCGGAGCCCTGGGCCGCCCGCGAGAGAGAGCCGCCGCCTACCGGGCGCGGGAGCAGAGCCGCCGCCGTGGGAGAGCCGGTCGCGCCGGCGCCCCTCCAGCGGGCTCGACCCCCCTGCGCCCGCCGGGACCCCCGAGCAGATGCCCGGCGAACCCGCGCGCGTGCCCCAGCTCCCCGGACGCCTTTTCAAGAACCGCTGCCAGCCCGGCCACCCCCGGCCCTGTGCACCGAGGCTGCTCCTCGGGATATAGGACATATTTTAGCGAGCAGGCCAGCGCTTTCTTAATGGAGCTCTTTAAGAACCCCAAGGCGGGCACCATCTGGGCTGCTGATTAAATTTGCTGAGGTCGTCTAGAGCTTTGCTCGGTTTTCTTTTGCGGCTCTTGCCACTTCGGTGTCCTGTCGCTCCTTTGGATTCATGGTACGTGCTGCTGCATGAGTGCTTTGTTGCTTCGTCGTTCGTATTTTTTCACGTACTTGTGCACTGCCCAGAGACCTTTGGAAGGTGAAGAAGCAAACCGAACAGGGAGGGGGCCGAAGCCACGGTCAGCATGAAAAGCTGCGCAGGGTTTGCCTCGTGGGGGCCCCCAGATGTTTCCAGCTGTGGCTCTCACCAGCCCCAGCCAACCTAGCCAACAGTGAGCCTTACGAAGACGCAGGTGGAAACATCTGGTGGGGGCTGGCCACGGACCAACCCCGAGAGGCTCACACTCAGCCTGAGCAGATGCCTTGAGTGGAGCCCGGGATCAGACCAGATGGCCCAGGAGACCCCTTCTGACTCACTCCGTTTCTGTGTGCCCCAACGCTAGGATGTAGCCCTCCGTGCTTTTCCAGGAAATACGCACACTGCATGCAGTCGGGGCTCCCTCGTGAGCACCAAGAGTGCCAGGTTTGCGGTGCGTGCAGAGAACCGCAGGCTCACCAGCGACGCTTGCCTTCCCGCTGGCTCAGAAGCCCTGCGGCCTTGCCTCTAGCTTGCTCCCAAAGGGTTGCCCCGGAGAGATTTCAAGGAAGGCCCTCTCGAGCCACCGTCCCTCTCCACAGCAGCGTGACATTTCCATGGCACTTTTTGTCCCTTTGCAACAGCACACCATGTGTCTGGCGCCCTTTAGGCACACAGAGGCGCGGCCCTGGGGCAGCCTTCCCCACAACCGGGCTCTCCAGCCTTTGGGACGTCCCCCGTCCGTCCCCTGCACTGGCTGGGCGCCGCTGGGGAAGCGGCAGCCATGGCTCTCGGAGTGTTTCTGGCCAGCAAGCGGTGCGGCCGCCCATGTGGCAGCCTGGGAAATGCCAGTGCGCCCACAGCACGCGCGTGTGCACTGGGGTGGTGTCGAAGGAGCCGCACGGCTGCGGGCGCAAGCCGGGCCCGGCCAAACAGGGTCCTCCATGGCCTGTGGCACCCAACTCGGAGGAGGCGCCAGTCGGCTCAAAGCAGCCGCTACCGCCGCCGCTGCGGCTGCCTCATGCAGATGCTCGCCCTCGCCCGGGTGCCGGACGACGGCTCTCCCGAGCCGGTGCTTCGTGGCGTTTTCCCCCGCAGGCCTGCTGCGCCTGCCTTCCGGGATACGTGCTATGTCGACTCATTTATCTTATTGTCACTGTTGTTGTTATTAATGCAATGATATTGCCGCTTTTATGTTCATGTGCTTTTATTGTACTGACTGTATGTAAGGTGCCAAGAGGACCCATGGCTAGTTGGGCAGCATATACATTCAATAGATAGATAACAGCTAAACCTTGCAAGAGCACGAGGTGACCGGGTGGGTGCGTTTTGCCCATGTGACGACATCATGAGGAACAAGTGAAGTCAGTCAAGAGCGAGCGAAGGCGAAGCACCTCAAGCACTTTCCCGAGGAACGCTGAAGGACAGGTGGGGTATGGAAGTTGTTTTCGGCATGGTTTAATAGCCCCGTGGAAAAGAGCGGATAGCTCGGCGTCTAATCTTTAGCCTGAGTGAGCTTTTGGTGTATCCTTTGGTGTTTGCAGAAAATAATTAATTTACAGAGATGCATTCCTTGCATTCAGACTCCTGGGAAACACTCGTAAGAACAAAGGAATGTATGGAAGCACAGGTGTCCTTGAATCAGATAGTTTTTAATAAAGCATACAATACATTTCTTCATAAAAGACTAGGGCAACCAGAGTGAAACAATATTCCAGACAGACTCCAAGCAGCTTAGCACATCAGAGAGGTATTTCCAGCATTGAGAAGTTCTGCCTGTATCAAAGAGAGCTTGGAGAAAAATCACTGGTCTTACAAACTCATGGCTCGTGTTCTACACAAAGACAATCCCACATGAACAGGCAAGAAACAAAAAAGCAACAAACGCAACCCACTCACATGCTCTTCTCAAGCTGCCAGAGACAAAGCGAGCTGCCTTTTCTGTGTGCCACAACGATCTTTATGATCTGTGTGGCAGCATGTCCTTCCCCCATTCATACCTCTGGTGTAAGTGCTCAGGTACCATCATCGCCCCTTTCCCCACAAGAAACAATCCCTTAAAAAATGGCCGTCGTGCCGAGAAGTCATCACAATGGCCAAAATAGTCCCCTGTTCACACAAACGCAAGGCAGACGACAAAATCAAAGCAAACTCCAATAGAGACCTTGATTGTAAACCACCAAAAATAAGACGGGAGGGGACAGAATCCAGCATGAGAGTTCTTTGGTGGGAGCTGAATCCCCACGAATCTATTCACTACTTCAGCACAGCCTGTGGTGTTACATGTACCCTGAATGTAAACCTGCAACCGCAAGATCTCGGCTCGGGCAGAGAGACAGGAATCGTGAGGGAGTGCTGGGGAAGAGCCGTGGGGGGAAGCGACAGTCCAGTTCGGAAGATGTTTGTGAAGCTGACGGCCTGGAGACGAGCCGTGCTCCTCTGGTCTCCACCAGCCAGTATACAGCTGAAGCCGCTGTGGTCCAGCTCTAAGTTTGTGCTGGGCCAAAATACTTTTGCACCCAAGACTTAAAATCCCAGGGTCCTACGGGGCTATATAAATAATCTCTCAGTCAACTTCCTGCCTGTGAACAATACCCCCCTCTGCACCTGTGGATAAGGCAGGTGCCAAGACAAATCTTCATCTGAACTCATTAGGAGGAGCTGCTTATCTAAAGCGCTTGAAAGCATTTTGCTGGCTTTCTCAGGCGAGACGAGACGAGAGAAGCAGCCCAACACCAAGGACCTGCCTAAATTAGAACATGTAAATACTGCGTTGGGCTGCAAGTATTGCAGCTGAGGCTACCCAAGCTGAGCACCTGATGTGGACCACTGATGTCTCAAGAAAAGTCGGGAAAGGGGGAAAGACCAAACACTTGGCAAAAACATAATACACGTGTACTGCAAAGGAAAACAATGTTTCCCTATCGTCTTCTGGGCATGACTCCCAAAGTGGGCAATTCTCGTTCTTGAGATTCTCGAGGTTCACAGCAAGGACAGCGTTCCGCGAGACACTCGCCACCTCCCAGCCAGGCACAAACTGGGCTTTGCAGGAGATGCTGAACTGGGGTGCGATGCGACAGCCGTTCAGGAGCATGCCGCAGGCCTTCCTGGGGCTGGTCTCTTCCACTGGAGGAAGGGAAAGAGCGAAAGGGGAGGAGGTGACCAAAGGCACCATCCCTTGAATGACGGCCCAACCCAAGATACCAGTTGCTATCCTCGGCAGCACGCCACTGGACGAGTCTGAACACATCGGCCTGTGGAAAGGGGGCCAAGGTGGACCGGCACGCCAGACGCTCCGAGTTGTCCGCATTCCCTGTGACAACAGCAGTGCTGGGGATGAGGGACGCAGGGTTCAGACACAACGCACACACCATGCAACCCCCATGCTGCGGCTGCGCCTGCACCTGCTGGGAAGCCCTTGTGCAATTCTTCCTGGACGCCTGTAGCAGCGTGAAGCTGCACAAGCGAGAGCACGATCCCCCGAGCTCACTGAATTATAGAGTGTCTAAACCTGCCACTTCTACAAAACAGAGCAGGAGAAATCATGGAATCTTTATTATGCCAGGAAGGAAGGAAAAATGGACGGACTGTGGTATATTTCCATATCACTATTTGGTTCCAGCTCTAATTCCATGCTCCAAGACAATGATATATTAGGTGGAAATGTTATGCCTATATGTCGGTCCTCAGATTGACTGAACCGCTTCCCGGAAACATGGGAAGAATGCAGCGCATGGCAACCGCGTCGGCTTTTCAAGGACTGTGTCAGTGCATTCTCAGATCATGAGGGGAACGGCGGCCCTTCATCCCTATGAGCGCTGGAGCCGCCGAGGTTTGGATCGCCGCCGTCTGTACAGCTCTGGAGTACCAAACGCCAATTGCATGCTCCATTTATCTGATCATTGCAGATATATACCTGGGTGGGGTGACATGATTGAAGCGCGCTCGGGGTGGACTGCAGCAGTGCCATGGCTGCCACCCACAGGGCCAGAATTGGGCCAGCGCATGTGGTTTGCCACTGGGTTAGAAAAAGAAAATTCCCGTGGATTTCACTAATGCGCTGATGTGGTCAAGCCTCCATGGGATACGCACTTCACGAGCTGAGAGTTCAAAGCTGGCGGGCTGCCACCATATTCTGTCTCTTAATTTTACTTGAGAAGTACAACAGTGCAAACATGAATTCTTCCCCATTCCTATTTTTTCAAACAGAGCATGCTGACAAAATACTTCGGAAACTCCAAAGGTCACACAGTACGTTTTCAAATTAATGGGGTGGAAAAACATCTCAAAGAGAACATCTCATACTGTGCTTCCTAAAGATTTTGCTCTGCAAAGAAAAACCTGTCCAACACAGAAGATAGTCCTCAAGCATAATTAAAGACCACCCCCCCATAAAGATGGTCTTTCAGCTCCATCTTGCAACAATGGAGGTGCCAAACTTTGCATATGCATGTGCTTAGAAGGATTCTCTCCTGTCCAACCCAGGAGATGCCACTATTACCAAACTGCACCGGATTCCTCTTTGTTTCTTCCTACAGGCCATTTTTGGCTGTACAAACTTCTACAGCAAAAGCTGGCTTTAAACATTAAATGGACAAAAATCAGGAAAAGCACCAACACCTGTTGGAGAGGAGGTTGGAGAGGAGGAAGGTGCAGCCAAGACCGTGTGGATGGGGCTCACCGTGTCTCTTGGCCAAACTTGCCACCAGTCCTCATTCTTTACAAGCCAGGATTGCATTGACAGCAGTGAATGGCAAAAGCCATGCTTTAATTCATAAAAGGAGGGCTATCCAGAGCTCATGCTTTCCAGGAAACCCTAAGCCCTGACCATGGAAGCAAGAAGCATGGCAGCTTGTGCAAAGGACCTTTTACACATGCTCAGAGGCACTTCACCAGCCTAATGCTGCTGCTATAGAAGAGGCAGTTCCTAGGGCCCAACGCAGACTCACGGGGGAGGCCTTGCGAATGCCCGCTTGGAGCAGACATTCCTCTCCTGTACTCAAAAGTTTAGCAAGCTACAATTCTATCTTTCCCAGGGAGCTGAATTTGCTTTGGTTCCTGTTTACAATCTTGACCGAGAAAGGCTTTTGACTGCCATGTTAAAAGTGCAATCACTCCCAAACTACAATGAATGCATATCCATTTTACAACTTTTAAAAAATAGTCTCCGCAAAACTCTCAGTCCTCTTTCCTCTGTCTCAAGCCACCCTCTGAATGCTTGTTTGTGGTGACAAAGTGCTAAGAGTTCCTTTGAAAGTACCGCTGAAAGAGAGTTCTAATACAGCAGGGCCCCTTTCAAAGCCGGGGAGCTTTGAGGCAGGCTTTTCACGGGAGAGGGTCACCCCGAGAGCTCCTGCGATTAGACCCCACTCCCATCCAGCATGTAACACACCAGGATACCATAAAAAATCTGAAGAAAAAGATGATTGGTATGCACAGCCAGACCTTGCCCGAGATGTTTTGGTGCCTGGAGGAGAAAAGCTAAAGGAACTTTCTTCTCCGATGGAGTGACACCAGGCACAACCCGTTACAATATTCTCCTGCACAAACCCCTTTAAAATGGATGAGGGTCATGCAAGGCCTCCATTCTCCTATGCAGTCAACCATTTACTTCATTCCCTGGACTGCGCAGGATTGTGTTCCACGGATCAGACCCCTAAATTCACTCTGGACTCACAGAGATACAGCTGCACCTTGTTCAGTCGGACAGGAGTGTTCAGGAAACATAGCTAGCAGGATGCTTCTGAATGTCTGAACCTGGCCACTTTGAGCTGGTAACGGTGTAATGACGCCTTCTCCCTCTGCTCTGCCCCTCAACCCAGGCAAAAAGGCACAGTGCGTAACATTGACAGTCGGGCATCGATTTGCCTTCAGTTTCTACATTCCACAAGGATTCTTCACAAGTCAGTTCTGCGAAGCATCAGGTTTTGGGATTGTCTGTCAAGATTGTCCTTGGTTAAACAGCAGGCGAGGAACACTTCCGAGTGTATCGTTTGTCAGTTGATGCTTTTGTAGAAAGAGGTCCACAGCTACCAAAAGCCGTCAAAACATGCTGAGTTCAGCAGGATTAAGATCAGAATCACATGCACCACGGCTATCTCTTGATCACAGCATGAGATATGGCATGCCTTCTTTAAAAAAAATAACCACTATGGACACAAAGCTCTTTCCCCCACATATACACAACGAAAATAAGGGCTTGCTGAACACTCAACTCCAAACATACCATGAAGAAAACTGCACGAGAAGTTTGGTTCATTAGTTCAGGTGTGTACAGAACACAACCTGTGAATGCCCTGTAGCAGTCTTCTCCAATCTGGTGGCCTTCAGACAGCTTGGACTCCAACTCCCATCATCACTGATCAGTGGTGGGGGCTGTAGTTCTGGAGGGCACCAGACTGCAGGAGGCTGACCCCCCCCCTTTCCCCCATCCCTTCCCGCCTTGGGTACGCCACACACCCGTGGAGGGGGGAACGCCACTTGCTGCTCTGACCTGAAGGTCCACACGCTCACTGGCCTTGCAGACCCCTTTGGAGCACAGGCGCTGCAGCTCCGGAAAGGCAGGCTGGGTGTGCCTCCTGCCAGAGTGTGCACCTGATGTGCAGGTACTGGGAGCAGGCTGTGAGCACATGAGCCTGGCGGGCAGGGGCAGGAGCCTGAGGTAGGCCCCCCTTCCCCTCCAGGAATGCACCGCAGGGGGCACAGGGCAGGCAGGGACAGCGACAGCAGATGGACGGGGTTCTTGGCGGCTTGCAAGCCGTGTTCCACAGAGCCCGGTATTCTTTGGAATGCTTTGCACAGAGGTGGCCCCAGGTTGGGTACCCAGGATCCGCTGGCTGGCCTGCATGGGCTTCCTCTCCATGCTGGCCGGATTGAGCGGGATGGTCCCTCTCGCTCAGCAGAAGGCCCCTTCCTCTGCTCCTTCTGGCAGGGAATAAGAATAGTAATAGTGGTGCTGGACAAATTCTGCTGAAAGACCACTTACAGCCACGAGGCAGGATCAGTGGACATGTCCAGGGCACCCGCATTCCACCTGGGACCACGGGGGGACCAAGAGGCTGGGTGGCAACCAGTTTGGGTAACTCTTGAGCACCCCAGAACCCTCCTCCAGAGCTACCTGCAGGTCATGGGGGCCCTGGGGCAGACGTACAGGGAGCCCTCGGGCACCAAGTCAGTGGGGAAAGGATGGACAGGCAGTGAAAGCAAGACACTGCAACACTGCACTGAGCAGGGATGTCATCTTGGCCGGCCCAGTGAGGAGGTCACCTTGAGGTCTTTTTCGACTAACCTCTTCTAGGTTCCAAGCTGACGCACAGGCAAAAGGCCAGCCAAGGGTTGCCATGCCAGGCCCTCCCTTCCACTGCCGAGGTTCTCAAGTTCACTGCTTTTCCGTAATCATCTCCCCGAAAATCCCTCTGGAAGTGCCCAGTACCAGGTCCTCTGTCTTCTCTTCAGGCAAGCATGCACAGCACTGTAACTCAAGTCAGTCAGGGTGCCGTTCTTCCAATGGATTTTGGGTTAAAGAAAACCAAATTCCAGCAACAGCAGACACGCTGCAGAACAAGGCTTCTGTTTCAAGTGGGTGGTTATGGCATCGAAGGCAAGGGTCATTAGCAACTAGAAAAGTTGACTTAATCCTCTCTTACAGCATCCCTCCTGGTTGGAAAAATTAAATTATCTTCTAGCTGGGTACCGTTTTTTCCTGGAACATTCTTGTAGTGTTGATATACTCTTTTAATCCTTAGTGGATGCTAATATCACGAGGTAATTAGTTATATCCAATATATTCACCTTGTAACTACTGGTTTAAATAATTATCCCCCCAGTAGGGAGGACACAGGAGTGTGGGAGGCCAGGATCTATGCAGTGCCATGAGAAAACTTCCATTGTCTTGCAGTTCAAAGCCCAAACCCAACAACGCCAGGTGAATAAAGTGAGTATCACAGCAACTGGAGTTTTGACATTATATATATATAGGAGTGTATTCCATCTAATGACTTCTAAGTTCTCTAAAAGAGCAGTATATGCAAACCCATAATACCCTGTCACACCATTTATGGCTTCTGCCTTCCCAGTTTGGAAGGAAAGGGTGCAGAAGCAAATGGGTCAGAACCAGGCAGCTCTTTAGTTCTGGAGGAAAGAGAGGCGATGGACACCGACCCGGCGATGGCTTGCTTGTTGGTCTGCGACACCACCTTGTAAGCCGCGATCGGCTGGGCAGAGTCGCGCAGAGCAGCTTCCGGGCTGTAGTGCCGCGAGTATCTCGCTAACGCCTGCAGGCGGAAAGGCTTGCCGGCCTTCGGACCCCGTGCGTGTCCCTGGAGGGGGTCCACCGCGATGCCACCCAGCTCTCCCAGGGCATCTTTGGGGAGAGCAGCACCTGGGCCTTCGTGTGCCCTTTCGGAACCCGGGGGAACGCCGGGCGGCTGCCCCAAGGGAGCCACGGAGTGCTGGGCCTGAGGGAGCCAGGGGCCGGGCCTGGCTGCCGCCTGGCTCTGGAACACAGGGCCGCACGCATGCTGGGCAAGGCAGGCCACCGTGGCAGGAGAGTCCCTGAGCGCCGTGCAGGACGCCAGCTCCTCCTGGCTCTTCCTTTTAGTGAACGGAGCGCGAAGGAACACGTCGCCCTCATCCAGCTGCTTGGCACACCCAGGACTCCTGGAGAGGAAGGGTGCTTTGGCGAAGATGTCCAAGTCGTCACAGAGGGGTCTGGAACTTCGGAAAGGGGCCGTGGCGAAGACGTCTCTCTCGTCCAGGGTTTCCCCAGGTGGCGGCTGGGGACCACTCGGGGGCAGCTGAGGAGCCAAGCCTTCGTGGGAGGCCCTGCCCCTTTCCTGAAGCTGCAGGTTCATCCTGCAAGCCTCCTCTTCCTCTTCGGAGTCCAGCAGCAGCGGCCTGGATCCACTGCAGTCCAGGATGTCTCCCTCGTGGTCTGTCCCTTCCCCCTCGCTGCTGTGGAAGGAGCTGTTGCTGGAGGGACCGTCCCTCGCCAGACAGTCGGGGTCTCCCTGCTGCTGCTGGTCTGGCGGGAAGCAGCCCAGCGCCGGTGGTCCTCCTCGCCCCTGCTGAGCATTGACGGCCAAGTACCCCGTTGCGTCTCCCTGCAGACCTACAAAATACAACGGCAGCCCATTAACTGGGGATCCCCTGCAGTGCTTGACCACAGGCGTGTCATGCACATATGGGGGGGGGGGCGACTATGGATGGAAGGAGAAATACATTTTAAATAAAAGTTATGCAGCGATGAAACGGTCATTAAAGAACACAGACTTGAATGTAATGCAGCATTTCTCACATTTAAGAAATCCACAAAATGTGTTAGAAAGAGATGGAAGATGTTATAAATACACAGACATCCAAGGGTCATTCAAGCTCCGGGAGGTGCCTGTCCTAGCAGGAGGTTGGTGGCACATGGTGGTCCTTGGTTTGCATGTGCATCAAGGAAGAAAAAACTCTCCGGCTGGAGGAGTCAAGGTGTTCAGGAGCAGGAGACTGCCAACCTCTGCAGCCCCCGGATGGCGTCCAGGGCCCCCTATCCCTGCATGCCCACTGCCCTATTTATTCCCCAAAGTGCCCCCTCTCAGATCATGCAAAAAAAAAAAAAAAACGTTTGGGGAAAAATATCCAGCTCACACAAGCAAAATAAAACATGCACTTCAGCTGCAGGCAACATTTGCGGCCTTTGAACAAATACTTCCAATCGGCGTAGGCTCCTTTCACAGTGTCGGGGCAAAAAGATTACAAAGCCTCCGTGTGATTTTTGGAGCCACCTTTTCTGCCTGCCGCTTCTGATAACGGTCATCAACTATTCTGCACGAAAATCTTCTCTGTTAGGAAAAACTATTGCTTGGGCAATTCTCCACCCACTCATCATCGCTGCCAAGATGCTCCTGTGGACGAAGAGGACACGGCTATTTTTGCTGTCAGCCTGCTCAAAGAGAAACGGCCATTTGGCGAGGGCACTGCGGCCGAGAGCACAGCCTGGGCCAAGGCAAAGCACCAGGCCTGGGCAGCTGCAGAAATGGCTCCGTCCCTCCCAGGCCCTGGAGTAGCCGTTACAAGTGTGACACCGGAACCAGAAGGCAAAAAGCAGAAGAGCTCTAACTAGCCTCCCATCACCTCCTGGCCAGAGTCGATTTTGCATGGAGGGGAAGGGAGGGGAAGGGAAGGGAAGGGAAAGGCCGGATGGATCACGCACACAGTTATCAGAACACACAAGCTTACCTTCTAAGCAACAGTAGCAGGTTATCATGGCATTGGGTTGAAGTTAGCAATAGGTCAGGAAAAAGGCACGTGAAAACTAAAGTGCTGACAACCCCAACCGTGGGCCAGTCTCCATTCAAGTAAGGGGACAGAACAGGCCTGCTCTAACTTTGAAGGACGGGTTGGAGCCAGTGGCAAATTTTGCAATGGACCAGCTAGGCCAAGCCAGGCTGGAAAGCGGTGGAGCAGAGACAGGGGACCTGATCTAGCAAGGTACTCAGCATGTCCCTCAGCAAGGGCCACCGAGCACTGGTAAGCTATCCCTCCACTGCAAAAGCAGCCTGACTGTGCACACGTGACTCATGGCTGCATCATGGGGGTTCTACTGTTTCATTTTTCAAGCATGCAGCCTTGCGGCCCCACTCCTTGGAGAAAAATAAAATCGCCTGTCAGTCCTCTGCATTTTAGGAAACTACACCACCACTTCTCGTTATCCAAGACAGGACTCCAGAGATGGGCACCCAAATGATGGTTTATTGAGAGCATGAACGCCAACGCATTACACTGCAAATGAGAGGGAGGCAGGTCTAATACGTCGCACAGGTTGTCACTGTACTTTTCCTGAATCCAGTAGGTACCGTTCAACAATGCCGCTTCCTCCTTTGTATTTGGACTGCAAGAAGAAAGCAGGACCCGGGCCGAAAGCAAAGCCCCGAACGCCCAGCAGCAAGCACCTCTCCTGCCTGACAGTGCGGAGCACTGCGCACTCTTTTCAGCAGGCCCGACTGAAAAGCGCTTCCCCACATGCATGCCGCTCGAGGTGCCTTTCCCCAGTCACCCCAGAACGGAGTAGGACAAATGTCGGCTTGCATCAAGCGCTCAGCCGGTGGAGACGCACGAGCAGCGCCTCCAGATGCTGGAGGCCTTTGCACTGCTCCTCCGGCCCACCTAACGATGGAACGGCAGCTGCCTCGACCCCCCGGAGGCTCCTGCAGCAAGACTCCCAGGATTCACATTTGGAATTTAACAGGACAGACTCTTCCCAGTCCTCTTTGCTGCGCCACACGAAGCAGCCAGCTCGCATCACGACGGCGAGGCGATCGGCACATGGATCCGGTCAGCAGAGCCACGCTTCATGGACAGTGCTGGCTCCCCGGGTTGGACCACAGATGCAGCAAGCTTTGCCTCAGGTGCGCAGAAATGCTGCTGAAACGTGACCTGCTGGTGCCAGGCAACGAAAGAAAGCGGAGGCGCCGGAGCGGCCTTCCCCCACCCCTTTGGCTGCCCCACATGTTGTTGTGCTACAACCTGGAACTGACATGGGACCCAGGTGCTGCTGCTCCTGCTTGATGTGCACAAAATTTTCAGCACTGGCAAGGGGCGGGTTCTTTCTGAAGTGGCATAAAAGTAAATGCAAACAAACTGCCATTTCTCGGTTGCACAAGGATTCACTCCCCCAAGTCAGTCCTTGGGAGAAGCGCAGTTCTTGGGGAGCAGTTCTAGCTGCCGTCGTCTTCTTGGAGGCGTCTCCCATCAGCTTTGCTTATCTAGGTGCAGCCAGGTCGGGCCCCTCTCTCTGGTCAAACTGCTCCAGCAGTTGCCGCTCCAGCAACTCTCTGGTTGGATGGGGACTACACCTTTCCCATCGCACTGCAGATACTCAATTAGACCGACATCAGGGTGCTGACGGGGCCATTCGAAGACCTGCAGGTTCTCGCATCGTGTCGCTTCACTGCAGCGAAGAGCTGGTAGCTTTGCGCCGCACGGTCGTCCGCAGCAGGGCCAGACATTTAGTTCAGCTCTCCTCAGACCAGAGAATCCTTCGCTGTGTCTTCCACATGCCTTTGCAGACTTCAGGGAGGCTTCCGTAAGGGTTTGCTTCAGCAACAGCTTTTCTTGCCCAGCCCTCTTCCATGATGCCCATCTTGGAGGTGCGTCCAGGTGGTGGCTGTGGCACGGAGGGTTTTTCCCACCTCAGCAGCAGGTCTCTCCAGCTCCTTCGGGACTCCCCCTGGCTGCCTTGCGTGCTCGCCTCACCCAGTCACTGAGTCTTGTTAGGCAAAGTCACGGTCTGGATTCAAGGTGCAGGAGAGATGCTTCCGTGCTGGCTCATCTGGGGGATTTATGCAACTACTCACAATACGTGACTTCTGGAGGTTGTGGGTCACCCCACACTCTATTTAGCCATGCCATAGCAAAGAGGGTGTATACGTGCAACCCACAACTGCCGGTGTGCACTTGCTTGTTTGCTTAACCTTCGCACCACTCTAAAAACATTTTGCATTTTCACAGTTTGAGTATCTTGGGAACATCAAGTGACAGTAATGCCAATTAAAGCCATTTCAGTGCTTCTAAAATAAAAGTAATCCAGACTTGTACAGTGATCCAAGAGTGTTAGGAAGCATCTGACATATGTTTGTTCAGTCACACCTAGAACAAGGTAGACCTGCATTATTCCCACATTGCAAAGGCTAAGAATGTGACTTGCCCATTTCTCCCATTCGGCCCCTGCCCAAGCCAGCTCTCCAATGGAGAGGATTCGGCTCCTGCTTCTTGCCCAGCCTCATCAGGTCTCGCGCCCAGTTATCCTGCCTCAGGGTACCTGTGCCTCAGTACCTGTTCTCGACCCTTAGCTTGTCCGTGGCCACATCCTGGCTCAAGTGCCCCGGGCCCAGGGTCTCTGCCTTGCCTCCCACTGCCGGCCTCCCAGTCCTGGGCCAGGCAGCTCAGTACACAGAGGAGGAACGATTGCCTCCTCCACCACCGGCCTGCTAAGAAGCAAAGTCCGGAGTGGCAACTGGCATGAAGGGAGGTGTGAGCTTGGTTCTGGGGGTGACAATCATCCCTGGTTTGAACATGTGCTCAGAGACAACCTGTTCCTCAAATCTTTGCTTCTGCCTATACCGCTATTTTGAACGAGATGCCCTTGGTGGAGCTTGGAAGTCTAAGCAAAGGATGTTGTTGAGCCGGCAAGACTGATGCCACCTGCAGCAGCCTTCTCCATATGTTCTGGACTTCCATTCCCAGCAGCACTTGCTGTTGCTCATGCTGGCAGGGGATTCTGGGAGAAGACTCCCAAAGATCTGGAGTGCTACATGAAGTGGACCATCTCAAACCAGATGGGCTGGCAGGCAGTCTCTGCACTGGGCAGTTTATGTTCTGTCTTTGCGAACATCACTCATGAGAAGCCCAATCGATCACTCGCTGGACATGTTTTAGGCAAGCATATTGAGTCAGGAAACAGCTTCTGTTTGTGAAATTGTTACTGTATGGCTCTCAGTGTGCACAGCCACTGAATGTTAAAAGGTTTATTCCTTGACAACTCTACAGAACTGTTTGGTTTTCGTTTTTAATAAAAGACTCAAAGAGAAACATTTTCTTTGGTCATCTGTACGTGAAACCAAAGAGAAGCTCTCCCACGTATTGCCAGCTTGCTTGACTCTTCATTTGTACACACTTTGAAAAACGGAAAAACATGCAGACATTTACAACAAGAAAGTCTACACAATTACTGAAGCCAATAATTCCCTCAGGAGACAGACAGGGTAAGCAAAAAAAAAAAAAATGTTTTTAAGATCCTCAAAGCTGTTACTGCAGGCTTGAAGTTATTAAAGAAAATTCACTGAGCAAGGATAGACACCTACCAATCTGCACAGATCAGCAATCAAAAGTCCGCAATCCCTCCTCCCATAGCCATGGTGCCTGGCAGAGCAAAGCACTTTGCGTCCGACAGGCACGCTGCCTGGTGAATGGGAATGCGCACCGAACGCGGCAAGTGCGGTGCTGGGCAAGGGCGGACCGTGCGCCACACGGTCCGGAGGGTTGCATGTTGCAGATTCAGGGCGCCATCTTTCGACACTGTCCCGGGGGCACAGGACTGGCTGGAGTCTGAGAAGGGCGGGGAAGGAGGATGTGCCATTTCGAAACCGGCTCTATTTGCTACGGAATGCCTTGTGTGGGGCGAGGGAGAAAACGGACGGGTTGGCTGGACCAGCCAGGGCCGAAGAGCTTTCCTGCAAAGCGCGCGAATCGAGCTGGTCCTTCGTCTGACCTCAGTCAGACGCGCCGTGAGCAGGATGCGCTTGCTCGACACGGCCGCACGACGCCTCAGCTGTGAGGGATTCGCGAGAATGCACTCGGACCTGCTATGCGGAATAGGCTCACGCGTGCGCACAATGCACGAATGCGCTAAGCAAAAGAAAATGGCCCACGCGCGACAGACGCCATCTCGCCCCTGATGTACGCAAGCGCAACACACCAGTCGGGATTCTCCAAGAGCTGCTTGGGCGCCGCATTCCAGGCCCGAGTAGGAATCGCTGCGGTGCGTCTCCCCAGTCCTCTTGGGTGGACCATCCATCCGCCCTCCCATGAACTGCAGCCTTAACACGGGGACTCAGCCCGCGGCTCTGACTGGCCAGGCCTACGGGGCGCTATGCAAGGAGCCGCCATCCAAGATCCACTGTCTACTAGCTAGACTAGGCTGGAAAGGCAGGGCAGCAGAGGGGTCCTGCCGGAGAAGGAGGGGCAAAATCCCTCCCTCCCTCCGTGCCGCCATCTTTGAAGCACGGCCCAGAAACGATCCTCAACATTTTTGTGATGGGGACAGAGAATCCGGGCAATAAGATCGAGTTACTGACAACTGGCTGTCCTTTGAAGGGTAACTCCAAAGGCATGGCCGGCCGGCCACGGATTTGGGCTTGCTTGTCGTAAATGAAACGGCGATGAGGGAAGCCACTCCCGCAAACGCCCAGCGCTTCGTGGCTGCACATCGGACCAGCTTTTCGAGTACCCCCTGCAGCCTTCAGCAACTTGCAGCAAAAGGCCAATAATATTCATCATTCCCAAATTTCAGTCTGGCGCTGTTTATTAAAGAATCTGCTACAATGCCATTCCAATGCCCGCCGGTTGATTCGGAAACCTTAGTGCAGGGTCAGTTGTTGTCATGGTGTCGTTTTGCCCAAGCGGATGCATAAATCATTTCTGAAAACAAGACGCAACGAAAACCCGGCAACACTCACAGTTGTTCGGTCAGTGGCACCGTCCGTGTACAACCAGGCCCTCCTGCAATTCTGCTTCTGGAACTCTTCAACAAGTTCAATTAGACTTAAAATGCTAAACATTCTTTTTTAAAAGTACTTTAATTCACAGAAATGTTCTTTTTGGTTTCTAATATACAGCAGGTGGTTACTTTGTTTAAAAAAATCCATTCTTTTTTCCATATATTTTCAGCATCTGACTGTACAATAACATTCTATCTAAAGCTTCTTCCACATAATCTGACCCAGTTGCCTGTGCTTTAGGAATCAAAAGTCAAAACAACCCTGCCCCCCAAAAATATAAAGATCTATCAACAGTTTTACCAAGATCGTTTCCAGAGTCCTGCCGTGTCAATTGGGGAAGTGCAGCAGAAACACAGATGGACACCTCACACATAATAAGCAACACTTGTTATCATGACGTGTGTTTGCGGATTTTAGAAAGAGGTAAGAGAGGACTGACATGACAGTTGAAGTCTATTTACAGAATTTGTTAAGCTAATATCTGAAAGGGAGAAATTAGGGAGAGGTCTGTGGGGAAAGCCGGAGAAATGTACTCAAGGATATTATCAAAGTGTTTTTCCTTCTTCTAGGAGGGGCCGATGCACTGCGTGAATTTAGCCATTCATACTTTCACAGATGGGAAAACTGCACTTTTTACCAATACAGCTACACACACATACACGAAGTTAGCCTCAAGCTAATAATTATTTCACTACAGAGAAAGGGTGGTCCTTCTCTTCAGAAGAACTTCTTCGGAGTGACCTTTAACTTTGGACTCGGGGATCAGAAGGCAATGAAAACAAGGTTACCATATATCCAGCAGTCTGACGAAACTGAGCATATCAAGGTGGAAATCAAAGGTAAAACCCATTCAGGTACACCTAAGCGGGAAATCACTTACTCTCAACTGGCTGACAAGGAGTGCATGCTGGTTCTACAAAGACTGAAGGACCTTAATGAAGATTACAGCCATTTGTCTACTAGGAAGGGGGAATTGGCTCCATATTACCGTGTTAACACTATATGCAGTTACAAATAGAAACGGGGGGGAGAGAGCGCGCGCGTGAGAGAGAGAGTGCGCGCGAGAGAGACCAAAAACTAAACAAAACCTCACCTTCGGAAAACTCTGGCATGTACATAAAATTTACAGTATTCCTTTACAGACAAAGCCCTCCACAAGAGTACACAGCTCTTGGTACAATGCCCCTCTTCCACCGAGAGTCTGTTCAACAAGAAAAGGTCTTAGCCATGCTGTTTACATATTAAGATGTTTCATAGTAACTATTTTGCATGGGATAATTTCCATAGCTTTAGTATTTTTATTTTTTGAAGCACAGTCCATTCCTAAGCAGGTTGCAAAACAGTAGGCCAGGAAGCAAAATGGCCTCTTTCAGAGCCCAAGTTATCTGCTATCTGCTCAGCAGGCCTTAAGCACAGTTTTTGGCCACGGAGGACACGCTGCCCGGCGCCCAGCCGCGAGCTTCCTGCATCGGAGAGGGAAGGCGCCCACTGTTTCTGCTGTCCTTTTCCTTCTGCCCTTTTGACCAGGAAAAGAAGGTGGCCTTTAACTGAGTTTGCGTGCTCTAGACTAAGGCAGGGCAGAGGGGCGGCAGATTAGTTTCGTGCGTGTCTAGCCGGGCCACACATCAATGACACACCATCCACGTACAGCTAGCAGTGTGGCGGAGCTACGGGGCGAGTCGTGGCGGAGGGCCAAAGGGTGGCGCTCCCCGCGGGCGAGGGCACGAGGCCTGCACAGGCTGTGGTGCGGACGTGCTGAGGAGGAGGGCAGGCAAGTCCCAAGGGAGGGGCTCGGTTTGGGGGTGGGCTCCTTCAGCCTGCAGGGTTATTTTAAACAAAGAAACAAGCGGATGAACGAAAGACCACAAACCACCCAACAACTAAAGATTAGCTCCACTGGGGGGGGGAACACGTTGGATTCAGGTACGTTACAGAAACTGGCTCAGGTACTGAGCGACCGCTACAGGTGAATGAGCTGGTCCACCAGCAGGAGAGACCTGGCTAGGCTGGGAAGGCTGGATTCAGAGCTTCCACTGCTGTTTCTAGAATGCCCACCTGGAAGGGTGAGAGAGAGCGGTTCAGTGTTGCGCAGGAGAGAGAGGAAGGAACGGTTAAGCGTTGGCTTTACAATCCATAAAAGAAAAGGCATTCACAAGCCAGCAACGAGAGGGGCCAGCCCGAAGCGGGAGAAAGCGGCCAGGGATCTGGGCAGACTTGTGGGGACGAGGGCAGGTGGGCAAAGTCCTGCCCCGAGAGCGTGGGAAAGAGCGATTCTGGCCCTCCAGCTGTGCCACGGCTCCCTTCTCTAACACTCAGCTGGGGGGCAGCGACCCAGCCCCTTGGAGCAGGGCCACCGGGCCGGGAGGCCCCTGTCTACAGCTCTCCCCTCCCCGGGCAGCTGGGGAAGTGGGTCGCAGACAATGAGGTGCTGGCAGAGCACAGGCAGGTTTTCTGTGTGGACGCGGGCGGGGAGGGATGGTGAACAGCGATCCAAAGCCGCTTGCCCCTCCTATGACTTTGTCACAGAAGCAGCTGCGACGCGAGCGGAGCGCAGAGCCACGCCAGGGAGGCAGAGGGAAGCAGGCTCGTGTGCAGCCCAGAGACGCCGCTGCTTTGACGGCTGCCGTTTGGACGCCAGGCAGAAACACGAGCACACGGACGTGACCTCAGAATCTGAAGGCAACTCCAGATTCACCTGCTTACCTTGTGAATTTTTGGATATCAACACAGGGATGGGGTCAAACTCATCTTCTGCCACTTTTTCAGAGCCCTCAGGGACATCAAAGCCCGATATCAGGTTAGTATCTTCTGCAGCAAGATGGTGAGAATGGAAGGGAAAAAGGAGCAAAAAGACAGAGCAGAGAAAGCCGGTTAGAAACCACCAAAACAACATTTGCCACATGTGTTTGGTTGCAGGAGGTGATTAGAAGCCAGAGTTTTGTATTGTGAAGGAAAGCAAGTCAGAGGAGGAGGAGGAAAAGGGAGGCAGGGATGAATGTGGAACATAAATGCAGCAGAGGCGGAACAGGCAGTGCGCAAGAGAGCAAAGCACCAGGCTGTGCCAGAGTCCCCGGCTGGTGCCTTTCCTAGCGACTCAGGTTTGTAAGGGGAAAAACGGCAGTGGAGAAAGGGGCAAGCCCAAATCCTCGGGATGGAACAGCAGCCTGCAAGAACTTGGCTCCTGCAAGTGTGAAGCGGGCTGGGCACATTCGCACGGAGAGAAGTGTACCGCTGAGCCCTTGCAAGAAGCCAAGCGGCGTGAGCAGCCACGGCTACGGGGCAAGCTCTCCTCCGGGCAGGTCTGCAGGCGTGGCACCGCCAGGCAAGGCTCGCCGGCCTCCCGACATGCTTCCACCGCCCTTGCCCCAGGCGCGGGGGTCCTTTCCGCTGACCTGGGGACTTAGTCCCATGGCGCCATGATTCTGGTGCAGCTGCAGATTTTGGCCAGAGTTCCCCTGACTTCCTCTGGGGACAGAGGTACTTCGACTTCCATCCAAAGCGGTGATGCGCTCCCAGCCCCAACCACCATTAGCAGTCCTGAAACACTGGGAATCGCAGGGGCTTGGCAGGTCCTTGGCCACATGGCAGCAGCGAGCAAGAGCCCTTGCTGGAAACTCTGTGTGTGCATCGAGAGCACAGCATGTTGCTGGGACAGGATTCCAAAGCTGCAGGGGGCTTCCTGCCCATTCTCCTGATCCCAACAAGGCCTCGGATTGGCCGAGGTGACAGTGGGTGATAATATTATATTATGGCTGTTATTTCTCGGTGTAAGTGCTTGCGGAAGCTCCCTGGAGGTTAAATCGACTTTCAAAATGCCGCCGGCTGCAGAAGGGATCACCCATGGGTGTCTTCCAGAGACTGATGTTGGCTTTTACAGCCATGGAGAGGTCCTCTCAGAGTCCCCCTTTTCAGATTCTAACAGAAACATGGCACCCTTTAAAGATCGGAGCAGAAAACCAAAGCCAAATCAAAAGACAGGGACGCCAGTCCCACTGAATTCAGTAGGAACATATTGAGGATTAAGCTGGAACTGCCCCATTCCAGTTTGTAAATGCAGCTGTTAACCTGGATCCATTCACACCATACATTTTCCCTTCACATAAGAGAAACTTTTGCCCAGCACAATTGCCTTTTTGCCACTGACGCTTCATTTTACCCAGATATGGACCTGCTAAAATAATACACAGTAATAAGAGCAATAATTCAGAGCAACACAGTGGCAAAGCTCATCTGCAGAGTGCAGAACGCTTTCTGCCCAGAGCCTGAATTCTACTTTAGGCAAACTAAGGACTGTATTCCAGTGCTGGACAAAGTGAAAGGGGGAAAGTCAACCAACAAACATTTGAGCACAGTTCGACTTAAAGCAGTTACGCCAGCAAAGAGGCCCTATAAGAGAAGCATCTGAGCCTTTTAGAGCAGGAACAAGGCTACGCAAAAGCCAAGCAGCAGCTACTGAATGGTGGCCGGGGCCTTTTGCAGAGGCAGTGGGGGGCTGGATTTAGCCCCCAGGCTCTGCACCCCTGATGCAGTACGTCCAAGGCATCTTAAAATGAAGGGCAGATACCACGGTGTACCGGGCCCCAAAGACTGCACCTGGGGCTTCTCACTCTCTTGGTAGGGCTGCCCCAAATAGCGCACATGGGCAGGCTGAGAACGGGGGAAACGGGGGGAGAGATGGGGCATGTCAAAGCTGAGCCCTCTTCAAAGCTGGGTCAGCCTCTTCATCGCTGTGCTGAAGACGCAGCTGCACACAAAGGCCGTGTAGTGTAGGGACAAGATCCAGCCCGAGGGCTTCTGCAGTCTGCAGAATCGGCCACTGCAGGTCGCCAGTATACCTGTCCTCCCCCCACATAAGCCCGATATTTTACGGAAAAGGTGAGCTTTGCACAAGGATTGAAGGGGAAGAACGAAGGTGGTGCCAGGAGGTGTTACGGAGGCCCAGGTGCAATCCCAGTATCTCCTGTGGAAAATGCATGCTCAGGACCTAGGGAAGGAGGAAGTCTTGTCGTTCGAGGTGAACCATCCGTCTGACTTGGTGGCGACAGGAGCGTCTTACACTGGAAAAGGCACACACTGCCCAGCTAGGGCATTCACTCACCGGTGCCCCACATTTTCAGTGCGCCCCTCGCCCCTCTTGGCTTCAATTTGTACAGAACGCGAAAAAGTACTTTACCTTTGTGAGGTTGGGACGAAATGGCTAAAGGAGCAAACTCATCCAGAAGGTCGGCAGCAGGGTTAGAAAGAAGAGAGCAGTCTAGCAGGGAGTCCTCCCCAGTAAAAGAATCTGCTTCCCAGTTAGCGGGCGACGGCAGCGGAAGACAGCACAGAGGAGAGGAGGTTAGCGGCCACGCTGGCGTCTCGCCCCATCCCGAGCCCCGGGTGAGCAGCAATAAGAGCAGTACTTAGGAAGAATCATGAATTTTGGAAATACTGAGGCCTATGTTCTGAAAAGACCCAGCACAAATACAAGGTTCGTTACGCTATTTCCAGGGGGTTTTTTAAGCAGCTTCGTTGGCATTCAAAATTATGCCGGGTATCCGCTGCTTCTGCCGCACACCAGCTTCAGCAGAAACCAGCGAGGCTCAATCCCCAGTCACACCGTGCTGGCCTTTCTAAACATCTGGATGACAAAAGATTCCACTTTGTAAGTGAAAAAGCAGTCCCATGTTTGTTTAGGTAGAAAGAGGCCCTACAATTGCCCGCATGTCCCGAGCATTACGGCTGCCATGAAGGGAAGCTGTTTCGCTATCGAAACGTACACAACAAAGCGCCTTCCATGCCGGAGTTCCAGCCAGAAAGCTGAGAAGAGACTCTTGTTTCCAAAGCAAGCGGACAGGTCACAGAAAGTGTGGCACTGACTCTCCAGAAAAGGAGCCGAAATGGGCTCAGGTGTATTCCGGGCCAAACTGTGGAGGTCAACAGGGTCAAGGCTGGAACAGGCGGGGGGACCTTCGACCTCTGGGCCAGGCTCACTCCTGGGAGCCCCACCAGCTCCTTCCCCAGCCTCTGCACAGCACTAAGGCAGCTTGCCAGGACCCACAACAGCACCCGATTCCAAGTTGTTTACTGCTTCACACCACCTCCCCGCGTAGCAAGGTGGGGCTACGCGCGATCTTCGCAAAGGCCTAGGATTAGTCCTGAACGCCAAACACACGCGGCAAAGAAAAGCAGCTGGAAGCCGGACTAACGGAGGAAGGGCCGGACCGCCCCTCCCGAGCACCGCGGCTCGTGCGCACGCTGCCCACCAACCTGTTCTGCTTGCGGCCCCGGACTCCGCAGTCTGTGAGGACACACGCTGCGCCACAGGAGCCTCGAGGCCTGGGATGAGGCTCTCGGCCGTCAGGTCGGCTTTTCCTTTCCGAAGGCATGAAAGAGCAGAGTGGAAGCAACAGGTTAGGCGAGGCTGAGCAGAGGCGGAAAAGGCAGAAGGCAGAAGCCGGAATCGGAGACCCCCGTGCAACCTGCTGCAGCCCACCCTCCCCTACCCAGCTAGATCTCAGCGGGAGCGGGTTAGCCTGAGGATAAGGCCAGGACTGAATTCCTGGGGGCCCCAGGCGCTCACTTCCGGGCAAAGGCGAGAACGGGGAGGCACTGGCAGACACGGCTCAAGCAGACAGCTCTGCCCGGTTCCAGATCTGTTGCCGACATTCTGTGTTTCGGTGCAAGTGAAGCTCCATTTTCCCCGAGAGGCCCGGCCGCCGCAATGCACGGCTGCCCGGGCACAGATAAGCGCAGGGGCTCCCTCAGCACAACGGATGCCCAGCCAAGAGGGTGTTCTGGGAAAACCCCAAACCACTGGCCCGGGCATCCCGGTGCATTCTGCACCATGCCAATGGAGGCTGCTGGCCAGCAAAAAGTGTTGTGTGTCTTTCTTTTTTCCAGAATTTGCTCTAACGGTACTTCACTGCTTATGCGGGCCTTTGCAATATGCAGCTAACAATCCGAGGCAGGAGGCTGTGAGATTGCAGGATACCAAAGCCTACAAGCCGCTATCAATCTGCACTTTGTTTTCCTATTCACCTGAGGAAGTCCCTGGAATAAAGGTGATGCAGGCTTCATTATGTAAAAGCGTTTGCTCTGTGTCCCTAAAGATGTAATCCACTGCTGTGTCGGCAGCAGCAACCAAGGGCCACGAGCCAATGCGGCCTTTCCACCCACCCCCTCTTGTCTGGAGTGGCACGGTCCATTCTGGTGCATCCAGGCACAAGCATCTTACACTGAGCATGTGCAGACCGGGCCTGAGTGCCTTCCCTGGGGAGATTAACGGCGAGGGAGAGACATGTGAAATTACAGGCGGGGGGCGGGGGATGCTTGGCGGAGCGAGGAACGGGATGGCTTTCATCAGAGCTTCCCAGAGCGTGGAATCCAACTTCCTGTGCAGCCCCACGTGGCTAAATCCTCAGTGCGGGTGACGGACTCGTGGATTCCATGCTAAGTGTCTCTCTCCCATGACCCCTCTTCATGGCTTATCACAGTCTGTGTCTGGCTGCTGTGGGGCAAAGCATGCAGCGGGGAGGGGCTGGCGTGCAGGACAACACGGGGCAGAAGGGGGCTCCGGGCTTTACCATTCACAGCGTCAGAGGTGCTACCGAAGGGGTCGGCAAGCGGCAGGATATCAGGGAGCAGAAGTGCAGGCTCAGGAGATCTGAGGCCCTCAATCAGTTTTTCTGGCAGGGGAGGAAGAGCGAGCACGGAAACAGGAAGGAAGCAGAAAGAAACAAAGCAAAAACACAAATTCACACCGGTTGGTTAAAGGAAAACATCAGGTTTTCAACTGGGCCAGTGGCCCTTCAGGCAGTCCAAATGGGTTCCACCAGGACCGGTTAATTAGCCGGACAGGAATCTGTTGACTAAAGGTGTAAAAGCCTGGAAAGCCATGGCCCTGTCTTGGGTACAGCCCGAGGCTCGCTGAAGGAGGAACGCAAACGCAGCAGTTCCGGAACGAGTCAGAAGACACTTTCAGCAGTCCGCTCTCCCTCGGGTGTTCTATTGGCCAGTGAAACCAGGCCCGGAACAGTTATGCTGAAACACACGGGGAGTGCCAAACCGTCCGACACAATTTTCATTTCTGCTTTAAATTCTGTGCACGTTCTGCTGGCCTTCAGTTGGCCTAATCCCTCACACTATTACCGTGATGAGGATTTTCCCCCCTCTAGCCAACACAACTACCTTCTGAGGGCCAAAAGTTCTTAAGGGGCGTAAGAATTTTTGCAGTCCCACAGGAAGGAGTCTGGAAATTTGAGTTGTGGGAGCCTGTGCTGCTTAGAAGCACCCTTCTTGCACTTCAACCACCCTGCAGTCATGGAAAAAAAGAGCATCAGTCGCCGTGAATGGGACTCATTCACGCCCCCACTATAAGCTCCGGGACTGTGTATCAGCCGGTCATGGCTCAAACACACCCCATGAAGCACAATATGGTCCAGAACAGTCACGAGAGCCTTAGTTGGTTCAGAAACCTTCGCAACTTCCCATGCTTGGCACCAGCGACATGGTTAAAAGACAAGGCACTTCCTGCTGCCCGTTTAGTGCACAGTCCCAGGAGAAAATTCAGAGCCCAAGTCGGCGACTAGACTGGACGCAAGGGGCTCAGGGCTGAGCTTCTTCTGTGCCCCGCACCCACTGAGACATCTCCTCACCCAATTCTGGCATGCTCCAGCTGAGGAGGTGGGCCTGGGAAGTGAGTAGAGGGAGGGGGGCTCGGTTGTGTGCCTGAGCGAAAAGCAGGCATGGTGTCCCACCACTTTGGAAACTGGTCCCGGCCAACTTCTAGCCCGTGGCCACTGACGTTCCAGCCCAGGCCAATTCAGCTCTCAGGCCGAAAATGGCTCCCATGGAGGGTGGGTTTTGGTTCAGAGCTTCTCATTCAATACACCAAGACACAGTGCACCCGTGGGACAGGGAGCTTTTAAACCCCCAAATCAATTTAACTTTGCAGGCAGGACCACTTCTCCTTCATATGGAAGGAGAAGCAGCATGCCTCCAAGATCTCTATTTTCTGAGATGTGTCTTTGTGTCTCTTTGTGACCCCGCAGCCAAGCCAATGCGAAAGGTTTGCCTTCTGCCCCAACAGGCAAAATGGATTATGCAAATTCCATTCCTGGAGGCCTGCAATTAGTCCACTTGTGTGAAGGGGGCTCTGGATCTCCTGGCGGCTGCATGCGACTCTTCTCAGGCTGATTTGTTGCATGAGCATCTAGGGAACCCGGATCCATGGGGGGGGGGGGGACGGAATCTGAGGAAATAAACTGGGAAGCAGACGCCGACTGGGATGCCAGCAATGCCTCCGGGCTTGTGCCCGAAGTTCTGAATTCTGGGCCTGCCTGCCAATGCAGTGTCCAGGGAGAGGCAGGACCCAGCCTCCTCCTGGAAACGCGTTCCCTGGGTAAGGGTGTGTGCCTTTTGGATGAGCCCTGAGGTCACTGCACCGATGCCGGGAAGACGGGTCTATTAATCTCGATATTCAGAAGGTGAGTTATGCTATGCAAACACTCAGAAATTTCACTCATGCTGAGAAGCAGGTCTCCCTCTGTCCTTGAGAGGAGAGGGCAAAGGCACGGCTCTCTCTCTCCCCACACAGTTTTGTCCAAAACCACACCATGCTGTCAGTGCATCCTGGCCAAAACATCAAGCAACTAAGTAACTCAATGGACATACATTACAGCACAGATTCTTAGTCTGGACAGAAAAGGAAGCGCTGCCACAGCGCCATCGAACCATCGTTCAGGATCACTGGGAACGGTCAAGATGCGCCGAGGGAGGCCAAGACTTGCAACAGGCAAACACACACGGGCCTAAGCACATTACTCACTCTTCGGTCATGGAAGGAAAGGAAAGGGCAGCGCCCTCAACAAAGCACACAGGAGCAGAGTCCTTTCCCTCGGGCATTGGCTGAGAAAAGAAGGCTACCCAGTAAGGATCCAGTCAAGCGGCACAGTCAGAATGGAGAGAAAGCGCGGCAGGGCAGGGCAGGGCAGGGCAGGGCAGGGCAGGGCAGGGGCGGGGCA